GTCGAATTCGAACCACGGACCTTCCGGTCAGGAAATTCGCGCTCGACACATTAAGTCAGTAAGGGAGAAAATAAACGAACAATCGGTCAACCTAACACTTTGAGGCAACATAACGGCTTCAGCCTACTGCGGACGCGTCCTTCGCGATGTACAGGTAGAGCACCAATCCCCATGTTGAAAAGAAATCATTGGGTCCACACGATTTCGTAATTGAATGGAAAAATGATGGTCTAGGTTGAAGGTCGCGAAAACCAGAACGACCATCGTCAGTCAAACTGATTAGAATTTATACGAATGTTTGAAAGTTTCACGAGTAACTGAGCTGTTACACTAAAAACACATGATCGTTTTTCATGGGTAGCCAGGTGCCAAGTCAATCACTAAAGGTGAATTAATACATTGATCTGAGGCTCACCGCTTGTTGTATACGCTTTCAGCAAACTGACGCCCTTGAGCTAAACGCAGGGAGCATGACCATTTACCCACCTTGTGAATCACAAAGGAGAGCCCTTGATAGATTGGCGGTCGCATCCTACCACAGTGACAAGCAAAAACATTCTGCTTGTTCTGTTTGAGTCTATCCGTAATTAATAAACTCGGATTGGTTAGTTCGAACATTTGTTAGAGCTTCTATGTAATACATTAATGACGGTTCTCAATATAATCAGGCTTAGCGCCTACAGTTGCTCATTGCACGCTAGTGACTTCTGCATGAAAACCATTACTCAGGATTGTGTTGATCTCCTTCAACCATCCGATCCGAATACCCTAGAGACGGAAATGTCACGATCTGTTAGGTTGTGTCTACGAAAATATGTACACAAAACTTCCAGCTGTCGCAAAAGTCCCATTACAATTAGCAGTCAAACAATTAGCCAAAACTCACCTGGAAAGCATTAGAAACCAACTCTGGTTGTGAAACCAATTGATTGAGCATAGTCTGCATAACGTTAGTGTTATCAGCGTTGGGAGGGGCGCCGGATACCGGCGTTGTGGTTGGACCCGTAGTGGTGGCTCCACCGGCGGATCCGCTGGAGGCGGATGAAGGAGCCCAGGGATTAGGCATTGGCTCATTGGTTGGGGCTGCTGCACGACGTTCGCCTGCCGAAAAAAAATAAGTGAAATCAATGATGCGGGCGGGGGGCTACAACGCGACTCAAGAACAGCGCAACTTATGATACTGTGTAACACGGAGGTACGGAGGGGTAGTGTGAAATAGACAAACTATTGGCTAAAAGCTGTCATCAAGGGGAAAAGCTCGAAACTAAGGCTGACCGCGAACCTTCGGACCGTGCAGTTTCAGGGAAAATGACAGAAAGAATAGGCAATTCGGTTGGAAGATTTGCCCGAAGCGTTGCGGCCAAGTCCCAAAGTGTAACGGTGTTCAACAAGCGGGCTAAACAATACGACTGAAGTGAGGATTAGTGACCAAATACAAATATATGATTCGAAGGAATAGCGGTATGAAGCAGGAAGATAATAAGGGGAAGGACAACCACCTGCTAATTCAGCAAACGGGTTTTGGGTACTGCCCCCTGTACCCATACTGGCAGCTGCATCCATCAAAGGTTCTTGAATATCCCGGAAAATGCGCTGTAGATGGTTCATCCCACCTGGAACAGACTCCAGATTGGACAAGGCCCGATCGTAGTTGCGTACCATTTCTTGCATCATAGCCGGATTTCGCGCGATTTCCATCGATTGCCTCAACAGCTCCGGGTTGTTCAGCATGTGTCCCACTTCAGGATTCCGCTGTAAGGTAAAAAAAATTACGTACCGGATCAGATGTTGTTAACAGATGACCTTATGCATACATTGTGGTGCCTAAATAGGGCCTAGCATTTGACCAACTGTTCGGCCTACAAATACTTGATGACCGTTTCCACTAAAGTAATTTAGCAGTCTAAGAATGGACACAGCTGTGCACTTGAGTGCCAAGCGAAGTCACACATATCAACGCTCAAAAGAACTTTAAAAAGTTTCAAGCACAAAGCAGGTGAAAATACTAACATCGTTCTCCTATCAAAAGTGAAACACAAAAACAAATAGCAACCGTTCAGCTGTAACACCTTTTCGGTGCCTAGCTCCCACGCCAACACAGCGAATGATTGTCTGGAGGTGTAGGCACATCGGAATGATTGTGGTAGGTTAGCACTGAGTTCCTTCCATCATTATCAGCTAAATGATTGTGGTTAGCACTGAGTTCCTTCCATCATTATCAGCTATAAAAACCGCGTACTTGTGGTAGTCATCATCATCATCATCATTGTCTGTCATAATAACCGCGTACTCGTCGTACTGTGGTTGTAGCTGAGGCAGTTTCGTTCACCGATGGTTTGGGGGGAGGTGGCTGCACGTTGCAGGCGGGAGCTGATAAACTGGTGCATAAATCCAGCACTGTCAGTGGGCTGTCAAATGGAGGGGGAGGGTTGGAAAAGGAGCTATGCATTGAAGGCAATAGCTTGGATGCACGAGCGCCGTTGAGGGCGCGACTGGGCCATATCTGACAATGTCTCTAGCCATTGATGTGGCCCGTCTCGGGGTCACCATCCAGGAAGACGGCAATGACCAGCGCAGATAAGTTTGCTGGTAATGGCTTTCATACTTCGCTGCCAAACCATCGGTT